GCATGCCGGGAGAGCGCCGGAGCCGGGATTGTGGGATGGGGATGCACCTCGTCTTGGGCTGGCTTATGGGATGAGTTTGGGGTGGCATTTAGTGTTAGGATTGGGTTTGTGTTTGTTTGTTGCTATAAATATTTTTTGTCTATTGTTATAAATATTTTTGTGTTTGTTGTTATGCTTTTTTGGTTGTTAGTATAACTGTTTATTGTTATAAATGTTTTTTTCTATTAAAAATATTTTTGTGTTTATTGTTATGCTTTTTTGGTTGTTAGTATAATTGTTAGTATAAACCTGCAAAGGTTTTAGGCTGCCCTCATGGACCTGCAGCCACCCAGTGTTAGGCCCAGCTCTGTAAAATCCTCCATAAATAATTGCATTTGACCCATACTTATTATTCCGGGGCACTCCTGGCCCGCTCTTTACCCTATGCATGATCAGGAAACCAAACCAGACCTGCTCATTCTGCTGCAGATCCTTGCAAATTGAGTTTTCTGGGACTGCTGGATCTCCCTGGCAGCTCAGAGCTCATTAGTGAACCTAATTTAACATCCTGGCAGTGTACAACTGCTTCCCACAGCATGCAGGGACACACAGCAGCCCCTGGATGTGGAAGCCCCACAGCAATGCTGCTCCCACTGTTACAACCGGAGGCTGAGTACAACTCTCTGAAAGGAAATAGTGATATTTTTCCCCTCCTCTGTTTTTTTTTCCTCCACTGCTCTTTTTTACATCTGTTCTAGGCCTCTAACAAACCAGCAAAGGGCTGTTATTGCCCTGAGAGCCCATGACATGATATCTTTGATCAAAAAATATAAGCCAAATAATCAGTTTCCAGTCTTCAAAGGCATTTCCTGGAGCAGCTGCTGCTGGGGACAGCCCTGAGTGAGGTGGGCTGTGTGACTCAGTGTGCCCAGAGTGCTGCCAGAAATAAAGAATAGAAGAGAAGTTTGTTTCATTGCAGCCCAGAACCAGGAGATGATCTCTCCAGGCACCTGTGTGACCAAACTGCTCTCCAAGAGGTGGCAGAGGATCAGCCTTTGGCACAAAGCTCATCTTCTGCCTTCTCCATTTACAGAAAGAGTAGGAAGGGTCAGAATGGCCATTTCCTGCTCCCCAGATTTGTGTCACCTTATCATGCCCAACCTTACTGTGGAGTTTTCTTCTTGCTGCCAATCTTTAGCCCTGCAAGATCTGGGAAGCTGAGGGGTCAGGTCCATCATCCACTGCTCCTCTTCTAAGAGGGCACACAAGAACACACAGAGGTGCAGAAATGCAACTTTCAACCTTTTAGTAATCCTCTTATTGTCCCCCAGGCTCACACACCCTGAATTTTGCTTTGTACCTTACCTCAATCACTGTAGTCCTAATTTTTTTCTTGTGTTTGAACACGCAGGAGGTCTTCATGCCACGTGTAAAACTCAGCCTGCCCTTCTGCTGACAATTTCCTTCTCCATCATCTGCCTTAAGCCCCTTCTCTCCCCCACACTCTCACCTGGTTGTGCCTCCCTCTCTTTTCTGCTGCCCCATCATCCTCCAAGACCAAGTCCACAGTGCCAGCCTTGCACACCACGTGTGATCCACACCTCTCCTCTCTCGGGGTCTCTGCTGGTCAGAGTGACCCCAAGAAAATGTAGAAAATCTCTTTTCCCAGCCTGGCAGTCGAAGAAGGAGTCAGGATTTTTTCTGTTTTCATTCTTAAGGTTGTTTGTTGTTTCTTATCTATAAAATTCTTTCTCCTGTCCAGCTGAGGTCCACTCAGCAAGACAGTCAGAGACACACTGCCCGCCTGAGAGGCAGTGTTATCATTTTATATTAAAAACTACGTGTACATGATTTACCATAACTCCCCAATACCTATCACTTATGTTAGACAGTGAGTTTCTACTCTAAACCAATCTAAAAGTGCCAGAACCACAGCAGAAGATGGAGGCCAAGAAGAAGAAGGAGAAAGGCTGGACATGCCCAGATTCCTCCATCTTGCCCCCCTGAACCTCCATTCTAAAAACACCAAAAAATTTATTTTTCACCCCGTGATAAATTCACTATCATTCTACTTAAGCTTTCGTGGCTTGTAAATCCTAATATAAGGTTGGTAATCGTTTTTTCCATGGGTCAAGATCAAACCCACAGGTGTTTTGGGCTCTGTGCAAAGGTCTCTGAGCCCCCTGACAGGGTTTTGAGTCCTCCAGGGCAGCCAGAGGAATTCCCTGGGTTCTGACACTCCTCCACCCAGACTTTCCCTCCGGGTCACTTCTCCTCCATCTCAGACCTGAAGTGTCACACAGCCACGGCTGCACACCCCAACCCTGCTCCTGACACCTGGGACAAAGTTCCTCCCTTTCCACCTCTCCCTCTTTCTCTCTGTCATGTGTCAAGCCAGATATAAAATCTGTCTGTCTCACAGATTAAATACCACCTGAGAGAAGGGAAAAAGGAATGGAAGCTGTCTCCAGCTCTGCCTTGCCCTGATGGGGAAATGTATTGAAATCTCTGCCCTGCCTTTTACGCGATCAGTTGATGACCTGTTCTGCAGCTGTTTTAAGCTATAAAATAGCTGTTCTGCGGGTATTTTAAGCTTTAATCTCCTTGCTTTCTGCTGGCAACAGTTAAAGTGGGTGCATTGCTACCTCCTTGCCCATCCCTGCTCCAATTCCTCTCTCTGTGGAGGAAACCAGGGGTGCCAATCCCTATAAAATGTCTTGTTGGGATTTTCAATTGCTCTTGGCTCTGACCCCTTCAGCAAGCCAAAGGGGAGGGCAGAAAGGCACTTTCAAGTGGTTTTAATCATCTCACCTTAAAATTACTTAAACAAGGACTCTTATGTAGGGTTGGTTTGAATTTCACTCTTCAAGTACCATTAAGGTGGAGGGGGAAGATGCAGGGGCCCTTGTTAGCACTGCACTCTCCACAAGACAAGAAAAAACACAAATAGAAGCAGCACTTTGTTTCATTCAGAGGCAAGACCCAGACTCAGGTCTTGTGGTGATGTGGCAGAAGCCCTGGGATGGTGCAGGCCGTGTCAAAGACAGCAGAAATGCTGGCAAATTCACACTCTCCATCTTTCTGGCTGGTCTTTGCTCCTCAGACCTTTGACAAAGCTGTCCAAATGTGCCCAACAACTTCTATTGGCCTGAGCAAAACTGCAGCAAACTCCAGAAGAGCTCAAAGTCCTGGAAAGCCACAAGCCAGGCCTTGGCCCGAGTGGTTGAATTAAAGGCTGTGGCCATGACATTCCAGACATTTTCTCAATAGTACCTGATAATTGTATAATGTCACACCTGATTGATTTCAAATAGTTGTTAGTAACTTTAGCAGTTCTCTGTTTCAAGATTCATCAGTTCATTCCTCTCTTCTGAAGAGGGCTGCAGCCACACATGGCCCCAGGAGGATCTGGGTAAAAACACTTTTAAATACAAAATGCCCGGCGGATTAATTAAACCCTGTGACTCCTTGGGCCAGCAAAAGGCATGCCGGCTTTTCTAGCTGCGAAAAAGGTGCAACGCCTTCTCCTTGTTATGAATACGAAGCTTGACTAGGCCAATATCCAAGCCGCAATCAATTTATTATTTAACATGGTAAAGTATGAGCAATACAGCGCTGGGTACAGTGGGGGAAGGTTTCCCTCAAACTGCGCACTGATAATTGATGGTTACAGGTATTTATAGGGGTAGTCATCAGCTTTCTCAGCAGTTTCTATTCCAAATTTTTACATCACAATTCTATACACTGTTGTGATTTAGTTTTTCTCAGGATGCAATCCAGAAAGGAGTATCCCAGGTGGTGGTGGTTTGGTTTCCGAAAGAAGGAAGAAGAATCCCATCTGGGGAGGTCCAGCTCTCCACATGTGGATCCAACTTTTAATTGCAAGGACTATAAGTCTCATAACAGTGATGTCCAGCTTCCCTTGGTTGAAACCACAAATCCTTGCCGTGATGTTCATCTTCCTTTCTCAAGCTGCTTTTCTCTGCTTTATTAAGACGTGAGATAAGTATGTTTCCTTTATATATATTCCAAAGCTATAGTTTCAAGGATACAAGAAATATTCTAAAATTATACTTCAAAAGGTTATTATTGCAGAGCTCTTTAAGGATTAACTACAAGCAAAAAGCAACATCCTCAACACTTTAATTCTAATGCTCCTAAATCAACCAAGGTTAATTGCAAAGAAAAGATAGGTTCAAAGGCCTTCTTCCATGCTTTACTTTCCTCAGTTATTATTAGGATTTGCAACTGTCCCATAGTGAGTCTCTACACATATTACAATCACAAATACACACATTGCCTGTATGCACCTGACACCAAACACAGCTTTGTATTTCACATCCTCGGTCCGGGCAGACCGAAGGGACACAGTGCCACCAGCTGGGCACTGGCAGCCGCCATCCAAGCGCTTTTCCAGCCAGGAAGGGCGGCAGGAGCTCAGCCCTCCCTGGAGAAGCTCCTTGCACAAACAGCAGCACACGCAGGGCCTGTGCCCGCCCTGGGTGAGGAGGCCGAGCCAGCACAAAACCAGGATTAGCAGTTCCTGAACCCATTAGGAGGACAGCAGCTAATCCTTGCTGCAAGGAGCTTTAGGGACCTTGTGTCCTGCAAGGTGCACCAGCATTTTTTACCTGGTTTGGGCTGGGATGGAGATAATTTTCTTCCAGGCTGCTGGGCAGGGCTGTTTTGGCTCTGTGCTGGAAACAGTCTTGAGAGCCCAGGTGTTGGAGCCCAGGGCACAGGGAATGTTTCTCTGTCTGTCCTGAGAAGTCCTGATCTCCAGGAGAACACTGCTTTTAACCTTTGTCCATGGAGAAAACTTCCAAGACTTTGTGATGAATTGGAATCTACGAGTGTGTGAAGTAGATTGTAGTACAGGTTATCACAGGGTGAAAAAGAGCTTTGGGGTTTTAACATGGACATAGATAGAAGACAGGATGGAGGATTTTGGGTGTTGTCTGATCTCCTTCTGTGGGAACCCAGGAAATTCCTCTGGCTGCCCTGGAGGACTCGAGCCCCTG